GACCATTGATGACATGGATTACATGGATGACATGGATGGTTGCACGGTCCTGACAAGGGCAGCCAACAGCGGCTCTGGGCGGAAGCAGGGCACGCTACCGTATGCCGCGTATTACGTACGTATTCAAATACGGGCCAATCAGATGCGACCTGTTGCATGTGAGACCGAGATTCGTTTGCAGCGCCTGCCCCAGTGCTTGGAGCGCCCTAGTTGGAGCTGAAGCTTCGCCTTCCCCTCCAGCTCTTTCGCTACCGACTTATTGGGAGAAACCTTTTTTTCTTTCGACTTTTTTTTTCGGGTTTCTTTTTGCTTCCGTCTTACCACCCTCCCTACCTTCTCCATCTTCCCCTGTCCTGATTTGTCTTGAATTTGCGCTGGCTACCAGGGACTGGCCCGTCTACTATTTAATAGGGAGTTGCGACCCGTACCCATCATCGAACAGCTTCAGCGGGATCCCGAGCTGTTTTTCTGCCCGCCACCTCGTCCGACAGTCGCTCCTTTCCTCCGTGCCTGATATTGAGTTCTGTTCCGCCGTGATTATCCTCGACGACTGCCCCGGCCACCCTTTCGCTCGATTCTTAGCCGAATAAGCTAAACCTAAAAAAGAAAGAAGCACGCTTATCCCGGCCGGAGAACACGAGACCGCCGGAGCCACCTCGGCTCGAGCCTTGGACAGCCGACGGGCTGGGGCATAGTTGGGTGACGTTCACCGTGGGCACTGGCGCAAAGGGCGACGGCGATCTGACGACACAGACCATGGGTTCCGCACCTGAAATAATACGCGGCAACGATTCGTCCCCTGCCAGGACGCTGACGGAGAAGGAAGGGATGGCAGACCACGAGCCCACTGCCGCAGCGGGCAACGGGGCTTCCGGTCAGGGAGCTGGCGTGGTACCTGCGTACAAGGAGAAATCAATGGCCACGGCCGGCCCAGAGACCGGGGTCAACACGGACAATGAGGACGTGGCCGACTCGGAGACGGGACGCCGCAACAAGATGGTGCACGAGCTGGCCCGCGTCTACACCTCGCGGTCCCACGCCGACGGCGGCGCTGGTGCAGATGGCAGCGACGGGGTGGGGGGCAACCCCTTCGTCGTCGCGTCGTCGGACCCGGAGTCGAGCCTGAACCCCAACGGCAAGAACTTCAGCGCCCAGGCGTGGGCGCGCGCTGTCGCCGACATGGTCTTGGCCGAGGGTGCCGCCTTCCGCACCAGCGGCGTTTGCTTCCAGAATCTTGACGTTTTTGGCTTCGGCGCCGCCACCGATTACCAGAAAACTGTCTCCAACGTCTGGCTCGAGACGGTCGGGCTCGCCAGGCGCCTCCTCGGCCAGGGCCAGACGCGCATCGACATCCTGCGCGGCTTCGACGGTGTTGTTCGCAAGGGCGAGATGCTGGTCGTGCTGGGTCCTCCCGGCTCCGGCTGCAGCACGCTCCTCAAAACCATCGCCGGTGAGACGGACGGCATCTTCATCGAGGACAAGTCGTATTTCAACTACCAGGGTATGTGTTTACAGAGTGGCTTGCTTGGTGTTCTAGCGCCATGTCAAACCTACATTGGGCTGGTGTCGCTGTCCGGAAGGCTTTGGCTTGGCCGCTTAGGATCTGCAACCCTTGTTGGTCCCGTCTTACATGGCGGCTCTTCGACGCCATCCGTTCACGCCATCCGGGGCGATCCTGCGCCAGGAAACGAATAATCCGCTAACAGCATATGCAACAGGGATGTCGGCGAAAGAAATGCACACGTACCATCGTGGAGAGGCGATCTACACTGCGGAAGTCGGTAAGTGTCTCTCGCCCACGTGGACCGTGTCGTCTTGTCGCCCCCTCGGATATAATTATGGGCTAACCTGGGTCGCCCCTGATAGACGTCCATTTCCCCCAGCTGACAGTGGGTACGACCCTCACTTTCGCGGCGCACGCGCGGGCTCCGCGGAGGATACCCGACGGCGTTTCCAAGACGCTGTTCGCCAACCACCTTCGTGATGTGGTCATGGCCGTCTTTGGTATCTCGCACACCATCAACACCCGCGTCGGCAACGAGTACATTCGCGGCGTGTCAGGCGGCGAGCGAAAGCGAGTGACCATCGCCGAGGCAGCCCTCTCCGGCGCACCGCTGCAATGCTGGGACAACAGTACTCGCGGCCTCGACAGCGCCAACGCCATCGAATTCTGCAAGACCCTGAAGATGCAGTCACAGCTCTTCAACACAACGGCGTGTGTCAGCATCTACCAGGCCCCGCAATCCGCATATGATCTGTTCGACAAGGCCGTCGTACTGTATGAGGGCTATCAGATCTTCTTTGGCCGCGCCGACGAGGCAAAGCAGTACTTTATCAACATGGGCTTCGACTGTCCCGCCCGCCAGACAACTCCCGACTTCCTTACGTCCATGACCTCACCTCAGGAGCGCATTGTCCGTCCTGGTTTCGAGGGCAAGGCCCCGCGCACGCCCCAGGAGTTCGCGGCCGCCTGGAAGGCAAGCACTGAGTACGCCGCTCTGCAAGCCGACATTGAGGACTACAAGTCCACCCATCCTTTCAATGGGGCCGACGCCGAGGTCTTCCGCGCCTCCCGCAAGGCCCAGCAGGGGAAGGGCCAGCGCCGCAAGAGCCCCTTCACCCTCAGCTACGTACAGCAAATCAGGCTCTGTCTGTGGCGTGGCTGGATGCGACTCCTCGGTGACCCCACACTGACAATCGGCGCCCTCATCGCCAACACCATCATGGCCCTCATCATCTCGAGTGTCTTCTATAACCTTCAGATGACCACCTCTAGCTTCTTCCAGCGCGGGTCCCTCCTCTTCTTCGCCTGCCTCATGAACGGTTTTGCTGCTGCCCTTGAAATTCTTATCCTCTTTGCTCAGCGACCCATCGTCGAGAAACATGATCGATACGCGCTCTATCACCCGTCGGCTGAGGCAGTCGCGTCGATGCTTTGCGACCTGCCATACAAGATCGGAAACACCCTGGTCTTCAACCTCACGCTGTACTTCATGAGCAATTTGAGACGCGAGCCCGGCGCATTCTTCTTCTACCTCCTAATGTCCTTCACGACCGTCCTGGCCATGTCCATGATCTTCCGAACCATTGGTTCGACATCCCGGACCCTGTCGCAGGCAATGGTGCCTGCTGCTGCCATCATCCTGGCCCTGGTTATCTTTACCGGCTTCGTCATCCCCATCGACTACATGCTTCCGTGGTGCCGCTGGCTCAACTACCTCGATCCTCTAGCTTACTCTTTTGAGTCTCTGATGGTAAACGAGTTTGTCGGCCGACAGTACACGTGCAACAACTTCATCCCGATCCCTGAAGTCGCTCGTAAAGTCGGTATTCCTGTCGACCAGCTGGGACCTACCAACAGGGTCTGCATGGCTGTGGGATCTGTCGCAGGTCTGGACTTTGTCGAAGGTGAGGCGTACATCGGCAGCAGCTTCCAGTACTACGCGGTCAACAAGTGGAGGAACTTTGGCATCCTCATTGGGTTCATTGTCTTCTTCACCATGACCTACATGATCACGGCCGAGCTTGTATCGGCCAAGAGGTCCAAGGGCGAGGTTCTCGTCTTCCGCCGGGGTCAGAAGCCGGCTTCACTGAAGGAGACGAAGCAAGACGCGGAGTCGGGCTCCAAACCCGCAGGCGTCGTCACCGCCGCCACCGAGGGCAAGGATGCCGGCTTCATTCAGCGCCAGACGAGCATCTTCCACTGGAAGGACGTGTGCTATGATGTGAAGATCAAGAATGAGAACCGGCAAATCCTAGATCACGTTGACGGCTGGGTCAAGCCAGGGACACTCACAGCACTGATGGGCGTGTCAGGCGCAGGCAAGACCACTCTTCTCGACTGTCTGGCCGACCGGACAGCGATGGGAGTTATCACTGGCGAGATGCTGGTGGATGGCCACCACCGCGACGCCTCGTTCCAACGGAAAACTGGTTACGTTCAGCAACAGGACCTCCACCTCCAGACCACCACCGTTCGTGAGGCTCTCAACTTCAGCGCCTTGCTCCGCCAGCCCGATCACATCCCGCGCGCCGAGAAGCTGGCATACGTCGACGAGGTTATCCGCCTATTGGACATGCAGGAGTATGCTGATGCCGTCGTGGGCGTTCCTGGAGAAGGCCTCAATGTTGAACAGCGCAAGCGACTCACTATAGGCGTTGAACTCGCCGCCAAGCCTCCCCTGCTGCTGTTCGTTGATGGTACGCGCATGATATCCTGCCTCGGCATATTACCTGCCCCCTAATAAGTTGCTAACTGTATTGCCATCTTGACAGAACCTACATCCGGCCTCGACTCGCAGACCTCCTGGGCTATCCTCGACCTTCTGGAGAAGCTCACCAAGAGCGGTCAGGCTATTCTTTGCACCATCCACCAGCCATCGGCCATGCTCTTCCAGCGCTTTGACAGACTCCTTTTCCTGGCCAAGGGTGGCAAGACAGTTTATTTTGGCGACATTGGCGAGAACTCCAAGACGATGACCAGCTACTTTGAACGCAACGGCGGCTTCCCCTGCCCGCACGACGCCAATCCGGCCGAGTGGATGCTCCAAGTCATCGGCGCCGCGCCCGGAAGCAAATCCGAGATTGATTGGTATCAGGCCTGGCGCGAGAGCCCCGAGTGCGCCGAAGTCCACCGCGAGCTGGAGCAGCTGAAGAACAACCCCAAGGACGTACCGCCGCCGACCCAGGACAGGGCCAGCTACCGCGAGTTCGCGGCGCCCTTCTACAAGCAGCTCGGCGAGGTGACGCATCGCGTCTTCCAGCAGTACTGGCGCACCCCGTCATACATCTACTCCAAGGCAGCGCTGTGTATAATCGTGGCTATGTTTATCGGCTTCGTCTTCTACGACGCCCCCAACACGCAACAGGGGCTACAGAACCAGATGTTCGCTATCTTCAACATCCTAACCGTCTTCGGCCAGCTGGTGCAGCAGACAATGCCGCACTTTGTCATCCAGCGCGACTTGTACGAGGTTCGTGAGCGACCCTCCAAGGTGTACTCGTGGAAGATCTTCATGCTCTCCCAGATCATCGTCGAGCTGCCCTGGAACACGCTCATGGCGGTCATCATGTTCTTCTGCTGGTACTACCCAGTCGGCCTGTACCGCAATGCCATTCTCGCGGATCAGGTCGTCGAGCGCGGCGGACTCATGTTCCTCTACCTCTGGATCTTCCTCATTTTCACTTCGACGTTTACCGACCTCATGATTGCTGGGTTCGAGACGGCAGAGGCCGGCGGCAACATTGCCAACTTGCTCTTCTCACTCTGCCTCATCTTCTGCGGCGTCCTCGCTAGCCCTGACACGATTCCCAACTTCTGGATCTTCATGTACCGCGTGTCGCCCTTCACGTACATAGTGTCGGGCATGCTGTCCATCGCCGTGGCCAACACGCGCGTCAACTGCGCCGCCAACGAGTTTATGCACTTTGACCCGCCGCAGGGCAGCACCTGCGCCCAGTACATGGGCATCTACGCCAACGCCACGGGCGGCTACCTCGAGTCGGGAACTGAGTCCCGGACCAGCGACTGCTCGCTCTGCCCCATCGGCGACACCAACATCTTTTTGAAGGGCGTCCGGAGCAGCTACGACGACCGGTACCGCAACTTTGGCCTCCTGTTCGTCTACGTTGCCTTCAATATCGCCGCGGCCCTCTTCGTTTACTGGCTCGTCCGCGTGCCCAAGAAGAAGCTCACCGGCGACAAGAAGAAGAAGGAGTAGCCCAGGTCGTTTGATCCCGCCTCGGTTCCTATGCGCCCTTTTTTTTTCTCTCCTCCGACCCTCTTACGACCATAATACGGACGTTTCTTCCCATTTTGCATGGTGCGGACCATATACTCGGAGTTAAACGTGAGCGGTCGTTGATGAACACCCTCGTGCCCGACACCATGTAGCCGGCCATCTCTGTCCAATTGACGACCACATGACCAAATATTGTCTAATCTTGTTTTAGCTACAGTTTTTGTCCCTTTTAGAGCTTTATTTTCCTATTTGTATTCCTAGTACGTCCTTATAATGGGTTCTTGCATCACGCTCGGATATTAGGCTGGAAGTCGTCGGTATAAATGTCATTCCTGGCTGGGGACTCGTCGCACACGCATCCTTTAGTCCCAATGTAAAGCACGAAGAGGCGTAGAGAAATCTCTACCGTGCGAACGTTTTTACGAACAAAGGCGTTTTCGGTTATACATGTGGGCACTTCTCCATGCTTCAGCATTGTCTTCCCAAGGCGAACAAGGGAGTTTAAAACTGTTCTTTGTTCTCGGTTTGCCCAACGGAGGTTGGAGTATCCTGTTTATGGAGAGAAGAAGAAAAGAAAAAAAAAGGCTAGAGGCATTACAGACGGAGCAAGCAGAACTCGCCAAAAATGAAATTATCTGATCCGACCCAGGATCGAACTGAGGACCTTGAGCGTGTTAAGCTCACGTGATAACCGACTACACCATCGGACCTGTGATTTGATACTTGACACTTGTGCTTGGACATCATATGGTCGACTTCGGAGCGGGTCACCATTCTCGCATCTGTGTCACGCATCAGCACCCAATGTCATCCCTCTCGAGTCGACAAGCGCCGATTGGCACAGGAGATTTGACTCGCACAGTTGGCCTACAGCCCGGCAGTGATGGGGGTAGTTCGCCGATAGCTGTGGTGGTGACAATGGATGCACATCGTGGTAATCAATTAACACCTGGATGGTGCGGACATTTCTACAGTTTCACAGCAGAAAAAAAGAAAGAAAAAGTAGAGGACACCCGCCGACGTCCGGCACCCTGTATCGACGCCGTGTACGTCCTCGCCCCGTCGCGTCGCGCGCGATGTGGACCTCCTAATCTGCAAGCCGATGACCACCGCGCTCAAAGTCAAGATTGGGCAGGGCATAAACGCTGGACGCCGGTGTCGACCCATCCATTCCGCAGCCCAGATGTCGGAGCGGTGGTCCGCCATCACCGCATCCCGAGCAGGTCCTGGAGCTCCTCCGACACCTCAAACGGCCTCTCTACAGGCACCAGGCCCAGCTCCACGAGCTGCTGGTCGGAGACGCCCGGGTCCCGGTCGAGCGTGCGCTTGAGTTCCCGCGCCCGCCCCGTGACGTCCTCGATGCCCGCGATCCCGCTCTCGACCCAGCCCGCTGCGAGCGCGCCGGGGATGCCGATCTGTATGCTGCGGTGGCCCAGCCGCTCGAGCCGCACCGTGCGCTCCGGGTCCCACTGCACCCTGACCACCTCTCCCCTCCCGCGCACCTCGAGCTCCCCCTGATCGCCCTCTTCCCCTTGCTTCTCTGTCGTCGTGGTCGTGGTCGTCGTGGTCGTGCCTGCACCGGGGGCGGGGTGGCGGTGATGCGTTAGGGCGGCCCTGGCGAGCAGGCCGAGGAAGCAGGCGCGGCGGACGCGGATGGCGAGGATGCGCTCCTGGCGCGCGTCCTTGAACGAGTACCCGGCGCGGTACAGCATCCAGCCCCACGACGGCTTGATCCACGTCATGCGCGCGGCGCGGAACAGCGGCGACGCGTCCAGCCGCTGCGCCGCGACCGCCGCGTCGGCGATGGCGGCTGAGTAGGCCTGGTAGACGGTTATGGTGTCGTCGTCGTACAGCGCCCGGATCTGGTGGTAGGGGGGAGCTGAGGGGGAGGATGAGGCGATAGTGGTGGTGCCGGACGCCATGGTGCAGTTTATGCTGTGGGAGGTTTGACACATGAGTTTGAACGCAACAGAAGCTTGTTTCCCATGATAATATGGGTTTGCAACTCTCAGGGTGGTAAGTAACTATTTATGGCTTTGGCATGTCGTTTCTTTTTAGTCCGCTGCGGCTGAATGCAGCTAGCCGTGGCCGGTGAGTCAACGGCAAGCTGCTTGGGCCACAACTCGGCCGCTTCCTGAATGTAGCGCGAGTCGCTGAGAAAGGCGACTCTTGAAAAACTTCCTTGCCAGAAACTGTAAGGTTTTTTGACGCGTTTTCTTTCTACACTGATATTATAACAGCCGAGACAGATGTTACAAGGGGATCTGGGATCGGCTTGGAGAATGCTCAATATATTAATAATTTCTCAAGGCCTTTAGGAGATGCTTAAGGAAGCAGAATCTCCGGCGAGGACCTCGAGAGATGAGCCCTCTTTATATAGGCTGTTTGGGCGCACAGGAAAGATACGTATTTGGGTCGAGGGGAACAAACTCCCTTTCGACCGGGCGCGTAATGCATGCGGGGTCCTTGTAACCTTTCCAGCCGGCCCAACCAACGCTTACTTTTTTATCGCTGTTTTGTAACTCGTTTTATTGGCCGTCCGTTCGGCCTTTTTGGGTTATTGGTTTAATCCCCGTATAATACAATCCCCCCCTTTTCCAAGGCACGTTTCGGGCTTTAAATACGGGTGTCCCGGGCCTTTCGGGGATGCCGGCGGTAAAAATTTTTAACCTTTTTTTTTGCCGCTTTACTTTTAAAATTTTCCTATGGCTTTTATATTATTTTATCCTTTTTGTTAAAGTTTAGCCATTTAACGAGGTATTGTATTAAGCCATTTTTTTAACGGGAATTTTTAACCTTTTTTATTTTAAATACGTTTAGCAAAAGTGGTGCGTCCTTTAAAATTTGCTCCGGGTCGGGCCGTATTTGGATGCCGGCCCGATACGGTTTAATTAAAAAAGCGTAAAAAATAAAGTAAATTTTTTATAATAGTAAAAGCGCAAATTGGACGGTTAAAAAAAAAATAATTTTGGTAATTTGGAAAGGGCCGAAAAATTTGGAATTAAGCTTTTTAATAAAGCGCCGGGTTTTAATATTTTTAGCGTTTAATATAACGTATTGTTTTTTCGTAAAAACGGGCAAAGCTTATCGTTTTTTATCCGCCCATTTTTTTATTCGTTTTCGGGCGGCGTTAAAGTATTATTTGGTTTCGTTGTAAATGCCGTGCATTTAATGGGAATAAAATTTGTTAATGGGATAAAGTTTTGTACGCTTTGGCTTTGGGGGGTTATATGCGGTTGGTTTAAATTTATAATTAACGAAAAATGGGGAAATTAAAGTACTTGCTAACGAAATATTGTTATAAGCAAATTCCGCTATTGGCAATAAATTTACCTAATTAAATATTTTATAATTAACAAAAAACCGTAAATAAGCTTCGAAGCTTTGGTTAAATCGCTCCGTTTGCCCGTTTGTTTGCGGGTAAAAAACGGTATTTATCCGGGGTTTAATTTTTACAAAGCTAAAAAAATTTTGCTATAAATGCGCGGTAAACCGTAAATTTCGGTTTAAAATAATATTTAACGGGATTTCGTAAAATTTTTAATATTTTCGGGCGAAAATGCGGATAAAATTATTCGTTTTTTTTTATCCCTTTTTTAAAAGGACGAAATGGCCCATTTTGGTAAACGGGTCCACCATAACCCAAATGGAATCGCAGCTTTAGCTATTGGGTAAATCGGTAATAAAATTTATAGCGATAGTATTCCAAAAGCGGTAATGCAATTTTATGGGTTAAAGCAATCCAAAAGGAGCGTATTTAAGCGCTTTATTGCGTTGGCATTCCAAATAGCTTTTTACGTAATTTCAAACGTTTTTTTCGATGTTAGGCTATTAAAAGTAACGGGTAATTAATTCGAAAGTTTTATCCATGCTTATGTATCCGGCAATTTTAATGTCGTGCTCGAATTTTAAGATTTTGCGCTTAAATTTTAATTATGCTAGGATTTATAGCCTATTGCGGTAATACAAAAGCCCGTTGCTAATTTTTTCCCTTTTGTAAAAAGTTTTTAAATGCTTTTGGTATTTGGTATCGAATGTAACGGTTTGCTTAATTTTATTTGTAAATGTTTAATTCCAGCGCATGGTTAGGATGTTGCATAATTTTGCCGAAACTAAAAGGAATGCGGGTGCTTATAAAAAAAGGTTAAAGTGTTTTTTTTAAAAAACCATCGTAATTGGCTGGTTTTTACTCCTTTTTTTTTTAGGCTTGTATTGCTCGAATTTGGAAAGCACGTCGGCCTTTTCGTTTTGCTTGCTTAAGCGGTATATAATTAAAAACCAATAATTTAAAAGCTATTAGGCCCATTTTGCTTATTTTTGGTTAAGGATTTTGGCCGTAGTAAAGTAAGCCAAATTTTGGTAATTCGTAAAAATTTTAATCCTATATTGTGCCTTTTCGAAGTAATGCTTCCATTTGTTAAAGCTATTTACGATAGCAAGTAATTTTTTGTCGTAAATTTTGTAATTAATTTTTGCTGGTATCATTTTACGGGAATAAAAAGCTATAGGGTGGAGCTTGCCGTCGATAAAGTCGCGTTGGAACAATATTGCGGCCAGGGCAAAGTTAAAAGCATCGGTTTCCATAATTACTTGTAGCGTAAGGTCGAAATGCCGCAGGATGGGTAACAAAGTAAATGCTTATTTTAAAGCTTCGAAAGCGGTTTGCATTTTTGCTATCCATATTTAATCCTTTTTTAAAAGGGCATTGGCTATTGTTAAAGGTTTAACGATTTTGGAAAATTTTGCAATAAAGCGTTGGTAAAAGTTGGCGAACCCAACCAGCGATTAACATTCTTTTAATTGTTTAGGTGCTTTCCAGTTAAAAATTGCGTTTACCTTGTTTTGGAACATCCGGATTTCTTTCGGGCCGATAACGTATTTTAAAAACTCGATTTCTTGGGCTTTTTAAATGCATTTGCGGGGGTTAACGGCGAGGTTGTATTTGGTTAAGCGCTTTAGTACTTTTTTAACAAGGTCGTTATGCTTTTCCTTTGTTTTTGCGTAAATAAAAAGGTTATTAAAATAAACCAAGAGGCCGGCGTTAATAAAGTTTAGGAATATGTAATTTATTATTCGTTAAAAAGTGGTTGGTGCGTTAATAAAGCCTATAAGCATAACGGTAAATTTAAAAAGGCTATATTTGCAACGGAACGCCGTTTTCCATTTGTGCTTTGGTTTTATTTGGATTAAATAAAAGCCGGTTTTAAAGTCGATTTTGGTTATTTACCGGGCGTTACGAAAGCGGTTTTGGAATTTCGTTATTAGCGGGATCGGGCATCGTTCCGGGATTATTTTGCCGTTAATATCGCGGTAATCGATAATTGGGCGTAACGGATCCTTTGGGTTTTTTTTTCGGCAAATATTAAAAATGCCCTAACCGTTTTTTTTTTTCGTACATCCGTTTTACTTTAAGGTTTTTGGTAAACCAAAGTTTTAAAACGTTAAATTCTTTTTCGTTAAAGTTATATATAAGTTCCCAATTAAAAATAGCCCTTTTTTTTAAATATATTTCGTAGTTTTAGGGCTAATAATTTGGTAAGCGCATAATTGCTTTTGGAAATATAATTGGAAAAAATTCGCGGAATTTCTTTGGAATATTATCGAATTCGTTGGTATTGTTAAGCAAAGGTTTTATCGACGTTAATTTTTTAATTAAAACAATAATAGCTAGGTTTGTATTGCAAATGTTTGTTAGGTTGCAAAAGTCGAAAATTTTACGGGACCAAAGCTTACGGCACGATTTGCATTCGTTCGTATTAAAACAAATGTTTTTATAATCCCGTTTAAAAATTTTAGTAAGGTAATGGCGGGTTATCCATTAAACGGGCAGCAAAACGTTGCAATTCGGATTTAGGTTTAATACGTTAAGGTTTACGCGAAAGCGGTAATTATAATGCCGCAAAGTAACCCGGGGTATGTAATAAATTAATGGGTTTTTTTTTATTTTGTATAATTGGATATGGGTTTCGAAACCGCTCGTTTGGTAACATATAGCTATAATTTGGCGGCCATTTAAATAAAAATAAAAAACCCGTTATCGTTGCCGCAATTTAAAAAAACTTTAACCGTAATTTTTTTTATCTTTTAATCCGCAAAGCTATATTTAATATGGGTTTCGTAATTACCCGGGTCGAACCCGTTATTCGGGCTTGTAAAAAAGCGCAAATAACGGTTTGGAAAGCGTTATTGCCTTCCTAAGATTTTTTGGGTAGCGTTATCGAAACCTTTAAATTTTAACAATCGAAATCCGTATCGACTTTTTTAAAATATTAATTATGGTTTGGCTTAGGAACGTGCTTGGCCATTCCAATTATTTTAACCTTTTTGTTAAAACGCTTTTTGGTTTTTTTTTTACCGGCAAGGGTTCGATAACGGGCTTTTTGGCACCGGCGGCCGTTTTCGCGGGTAATAAAGGAAATTCGGTACCCGCGGTATTTTTTTTGGCAAAGCATTTCCAAATGTAGTAATTGTTTTGCCCGCATCGTTAACAATTAATACCGTTTTCTTTTCGGGCATTAATGTTTTTTTGGTTAACGCTATCGAAAGCGCTTCGGGTAATGGTCCAAACATTGTTTTTACGAATTTGGCCGAGGTTCGTTTTTTTATTTGCCGCGGTACGGAAATTTAAAAATAGGCCAAAAGTTTTTTTAAAGCTTTTATTGCGGGGATAGCCCGCGTTCGAACGTTTCGAAATCGAAGCGGGCTTGCTTTTTCCTTTTTTTTGGGCCTTTAGTTTTTGTGGTACTTTTGGAATGTATTTTTATTTGCCGTTATAAGCTTGTATGTAATGCCGGCTTTTTGGAAAAACTTTAAAAATTTTTCGTTTACGTTAAGGATGCGCTTTTTATTAGCGTAAACGAACCGGCTTATTTCGTTAAGGAATTTTTTTTTAACAAAGTTTTTAAAGCGGGTACCGGTTAATTTAATTATTGCATTAAATTGGGTTAGCTTTATAAAAAACCCGACGATGTTATTTTTGTATTTGAAATCGTTTAATTTAATGGAATTTGTACGTTTTTCGTTAAAATTGTAAAATGTATTGGCCAGGAACCCAAAATAAACGTTCCAAGTATTGGAAAGTCCGTAGGTTTTTAGCATCCGTGCTTTTTTTACGTGGACGCATAAAACGGTTTTTTTAAAGTAAAAACTTATTTAAAAAATTTTATGGTTGTTGTTTGTAAAGGTTTAAGGAACGGCGTTTATAAAGGCCCGTACCAAATATTACCAATTTTTAAATTCCGTTTTTTTTCCGTCGAAAACGGGGGGTAATTTAAATAAAACGGAATTAATTATAAAAATTGCTCCGTGCCGGCGAAAAGGGTTTTTGCTTGCTAAAAACGAACCCGTTCGTAAGCGGGGCAAAAGCCTTAAGGGCTAACCGTATCCATTCCCATTTAAATCGGAAAACGAAAGGTTATTTTTTGGTAGCATAAAAGGTCGTTATAACGATATTCCTTTTGGGGGGATTCCATTAATTATGCTAAGCATTTGGAAGTAAAAGCTTTTTTGGGCTTATCGATGCATAGCGGCTATAAATTCGGCAAAATCCTTTTGCATTATTTGGCAATGCATTAAATTAAATTGCTTTAAAGCGGATAAGGTTATGCTAAGTGTTAAATTGTTTTTGGTTTGCGTAAAGTTAGTTCGAAACGCGGATAACCGGGTAACCGGAATTTGGGCAAAAAAAAACCGGGATTGGAAAAGCGCTAATAACAACGGGGGTAATTTAGCGAAAGGTTTAGCGGGAAGCAATTTATAACAATACGGCCGCTATATTTATTTGCTTGCTTTTAGCTAATCGCCGGTTAATTTTGGCGATAATGTTTTCGGCAAACGTTTGCTATTGTTTTAAAGTAATTAAAAAGTAAGCCGTTATAGCTTTTTATCGTTTTTTAAGGTCGTTTAACCTTTGCTCGGTATGGGCGACTTTGTATTCCGTATAGCCCGTTTATTGCTTAACGGTTTCGATAATGTAAGCAAAGCAACGGTGCATGTTTTTAATTGCCAACCGGTAAATTTCGTAAACTTTGGTTATTTTATTATAAGCGTATTTGCGGGTAATATTATTGCTAGCGGATTTAGCAATAATATTTTATACTTTGGCGGCGAATAAATTATTACTTTCGATTTTTTTTTTTTAAAATTCCGGGCTTGTGCTTCGGAAATGGTTACGCCGTTTTGGACGATTTAAAAAACCGTTATGTAATTTTAGCGGGTAAAGTCGTATTATTGGCGCAATTTTACCATTTGGAATTAAATAAGTTCGATAATTTGCAAAAAGTTTTTAATTTTATGCCGAAATGCTAAAATTGTTTGGTAAAATATTTAAAGGCCGCTATGGATTTTTTTTATTTATTAAGCGTACGTAAGGTTCCCCGAAATACGTAATTGGTAATTTGGCTTTTAAGTAACGGGCAAAAACCATTTTTTGCCGTTGTTTTGCTAAAATTCGTTAAAAATAAAAACAATGTAAAGTACGATGGCTCCCGTATTTGGGTCGAGCATAAGGGTATTTTGTTTTTAACAAATTTTACTAAAGGTTCGTAAATAGGACCGTTTAAAAGCAACGAATGGTTTTGCCAAACCGTTCCATTTAAGCTCCGGGTCGTCGTTTTTAGCTTTAAAGCTTGCGGCGGGCGGTTAAAACGGTATTCGCCCGCAAAGTTTAGCCGCGGGCTTTTTATCGGCTATAATAATATCGAAAAATAATGGTTCGATTAAAAATTGCCGGCTTTCGTTATACAAAAGCAAAGGTTTTAATAATATAATGCGGAAAATTTGTCGAAAATAATTTTGGTAAAGTTTTGTAATTACGCCAAGGCTATATTTTAAAACGGTAATGGCGTTATTTTATCGCTGTAATTGTTCGAAATTGTTGTTAATTTTTTTGCTAAAATTATTGTAGCACTTTTTAATTTCGTTAAAAAGCGTTATATTTTTAAAGGTAATTTCCATTGCGTGCGTTAAAAAAAAAAGCTAAGTAATTTTCTTTTTTAATAGCTTGTATTTTCGCTTTTGTAAAGCAAATTTTTGTTTAATCTTTTTAATGGTTTTTTTGTGCTTTTTTCGGAGGGCGGAAATTTACGATTTAATAATTTTGTTTCGGGCTTTAATTTATTGGGTAAAAGCGGTAAGGTTTTTTCGTATGGTATTAATTTGCGAAACGAGGTTGTTAAATGCTTAATTTGCTTTAAATCGCAAGCGCTTTTTAATAATATCGATATATTTTGCAACGGCGCTTTTATGTGCGATTCGTTTTTTTTT